AGGTATGTTATTAAAATATAGAAGTCTCTTTTTTGTTTATGAGAACCTCTCTTCTTCTATGTTTCGAATTTATCTAAATTCTCTAACTCTTAAACGATCGAGACCATTATAGAGCAACTCTAGACTCGCGTTCATGTAGAGTGATACTCTTTGTAAAGGTTGCACGAACCTAACCTTCTCTTTACACTACTGTGAAGCATATTGACCAATTAAATTTGTGTAAAGTATGTTTGGAACATAATTTACATTCATGCTCATTGCTAGCTGGAAATTATGTTAATGCACAAGCTTCTGAGTTTTTTGTTTATTTTTCTGATGTATGTTTTATCGTTCAATAAGAAGAAAAAAAATGGAATTGGTTAAAGAGCGGGTAATCCATAATAAGCAGAGCATGTTGTATAAGGACTAGGTGTGCCATGAGGAACATTACAATTGGATGATGCATTTTGGTTATCATGAGTACATTTGATGTCCCACCAGAGAGTTATAAGAGTTGTATTAGTTTTCAATGATTTCACATAGACATCATTAACTTCAACAACTACCATATTACAATAGCAATACTAAACAAAATCTCGTAATTGACTGCAAATTTGATCATAAATCTCGAAAAATATGTTTTCCTAGGATTCACCTGAATTTCAATGTATATGCAATACAAAGAAGATAAGAGAGGCATTTTAAGTTTGATTTGATGTAGTTTAAATTTCTCCAATATTTACAGAAGTAGCAATATGTTTTTGGTCCAAAACCAATTGACTCATATTTTATAAAAGGCATATTGTAATCTAATATGGATACAGAAAAATTATTTTCACCATATAATAATATTACGACACGTGCAACGCACGTGCACATTGCTAGTATGAAATAGAAAAGAAAACACATGCATAAACAAATTAACTGAAAAACGAAATGTAAGGACTGCGGATTCGTAATTAAAGAACACAAAACACGTGCTTAATTAATTACATGGCGCTCCTTAATTAGACAAAAAATTCCTTCTCGTTAAGCACAAACTTTCTCAAACCAGGGATATGAACTTCTTTAACGTACTTTCTCCAATTTATTTTTATTGCGTCGATGTCAAAGTTAATCTGCTCTTCCTTCGACATTTCCGACAATAACTTTTGAGTGTTGCCAGCATCAAACCTGTCGTACGAAAAAAATGAAATGGTATTACAATATTATAAATTGTTAAACTTTACTGTATGTATTGTTTTACTATTGAATAAAATGTACAAAAAAAAGATCACAATTATTTATAATACTAGCTAGCAGTTATCCTGTGCAAAATGCACGGGATTGCAGAAAAGAAGCAAATTTAAATATATGATAACTCAATTGTATTTTAAAAAAAAAAATCCACACAGGTGTGTGTAGGAGAGAGAGAAAGAGTAAAAAAAAACACACTATACCCGAACGAAATTGCAAATCTGATTTGCTATGAAAGCCATTGAGAGAAAAAAGTTGGAAAATAGGAAATGAAAAAATAGTAATAAGTAGTAATATAATCTTTTTTTTTAAATTACAAATATACCATTAGAGTTTCTTAGTTTGTCCGAGCGTTTCTTATTTTTATATGTACTAGAAAAGTGCACGTGCGTTGCACGTGTCGTAATAAATATATAATATCTTGACGCCATGTTATTTGGCATTCTTAAGAATGGTGTGAGCGAGATGCAAATTTGTTACACAAACAAGATAAAGAAGGGGATTATCTGTAAAGTTGTTGAGCAATATTAGCTAAAACAAAGAAAAATAGTTTTATTCATAATATTGTAATGTTGTGAATAGTCTTGTTTTCTAAATGGGCGTTAGATTTCATTGAAAGTTCATTGCCCACATGTATCGTGAAAATGTAAGTAATGTATAACTAATACATTGGATATCCCTCCATAACTTAAAACAACAATAGTCCTCATAATTACAAATTTGGCATAAATTGTATAATGTTGTTGTTTGTCAATCGGTATGGGAAATTAAGATTAATCAAGTGTAGCATAGAAGACAGTAAAAATCATCCTTAATTTTAAGAAAATGGGTAAAATAGAGTTTGCACCCCTGTAGTATCAAAAAGGTCGCATTCACTCCCCTGTAGTATTAAAAACTAAAAAAATCCCGCTATTTTTTATAGTCATTATACCATATTAAATTGTACCATATCTTTTACCTCTAAATTATACCATATGTAACACTTACCACCTTAAAGTATTAATTGTAACACTTACCCCTCAATCATCATTTAATTTATTGATAAAAAAAACAACATTTAATTTGTATATCAAATTTTAATAGCTTCACAATGTATCTTTTATTGGATAGAATAACTAAAAAGAATAATTATATTATATTATTAAAATATATATTAACAAAATATCATATCTTAATATTTAAAAATGTTATCTTGCGTTAGGTACAAATGCAATAACATAACATCTAATTGTTTTTGTAACAAATAAAATTTTAAAAACACTAAGAAGTAAGTTATTGAACAAACTTAAGTATTTTTATTTATTTTAATTCATTAATTTCTGAAAATATATTTTCATTCATTATTATATAATATATATTATTAACAATGTTTTTTCAATAATTTAATATTAGTTATTTTAAATTCTATATGATCCAATAATTATTGTATGGTTATGCTATTTATTATCCCAAAAAATATACACTTTTACAATTTCAAATACTGCATTGACTTTTCAATTGATATTTTTGATAAATTATGTGAATTATTTTTCAATTATTTCATTTATTATTATTTTTTAAAACTTAAGATGTAAAATACTTGATGCAAAATAATCAATGTGTTAATCTTATGCAACAGCTTTCAAGTGCTCATGTGTGTAGAGACAAAAAAAATCGGTTGCCGATCCCCTTGCGGCATGGGCGCATAATCACTATCACCTTCATTAATTATTTTCGGCAAACGACCTTCTTAGGTCAGTATTGATTGCATATCGATGTGATGTTTTTGTGATATAGGACTTGCGACCATAAGGATTGGAATGCAGTCGCAGAAACTCTAGATGAATATGGATCAATCTCAACGTAGGAGAAGAGCGCAAAACTTGAATAATTTAAGGTCGTGGTGAGATATTTCAGATATTGGCATTTCCAACCCCATATGGAGCCTTTTTTATATTTGAGTTACAATAATCAACATAGGCATATTCTTTTAGTTATTTATTTTCTTACCCACTTTTGGGGCTTTTGTGTAATATTGTAGCAGGGTTTTTTTTTTTTTGGTCCGTTTTTATTCCTGATCTCTTAGGGGTAGTGTTTTCCTTGTGTTAGGCCCACGATGTTTTTAACCAGACCCCCTTATACTTTCATTAGTATTTAATGTAATAAAAGGAGTTTGGCCAAAAAAAAAAGGGGAGGGTTAAGGGTTACATAGGCTATAAATCACGGGTGCAAAACGTTTTTAACCTGTTTTATTCAAATTAATATTATGGGATAAAAAAAATTTAATTCAAAAACTAAAACATGACTGCTAACACTGAATAAATGAAGAATATTACACAATACATGACTATTAACATTAAATAAATTAAGAATATTAAACAATAAAATTTTATTTATTCAATGTCACCCTTTTATTGAAACTTCACAAATACCACCATTGAAATTGACAAACAATCAAAAAGCACAATGTTGTGGCAGAATGGTGCAAGAATTTGGGGACATTTCTGGTTATGTATTGTATTATTGTGTTTCAATAAATTTGTTGATCGGAGTTGCGGCTTTGATGGGAGACATTGGTGGGATATTAAGGGTTTCACATCGGAGAGTTGGGGCTGTAGATACAGGTTGAAATTGCAGGCGAGGTGTTGATGAGTTGGAGACAAAATTCACTGAATCTGAACTCGAGATTTAGTGAACCTCGAACTTCGCAAGCCCTCAGATACAATTTCTCATTGACGATTAAACGTATCGTAAAAAAGGGAATTTCATTTTATTTAACAATATTGTGGTCTTTAATCGAAATTATTTTTCATTTGGTTTAATAATCATTATAAATAATGGAGTGATTCAACAATCTATTTTGATTTTTATTTCAATATTTTCTTCATTGAAAATTCATTGCCCACATGTATCATGAAAATGTAAGTAATGTGTAACTAATACATTGGGTATCCCTCCACAACTGTAAAAAGAATATCACTCCTCGTAATTACAAATTTGGCATAAATTGTATAATATTGTTGTTTGTTAATAGTTATGGATATTTAAGATTAATCAAGTGTAACATAGAAGAAACTTAAGAACCATCCTCAATTTTAAGAAAAAAAAATTAAATATAATCCAACAACTACAGTTCAAGTAATACATAAAAAAACCGGAATGAAAAATGAAATCATCTATTGCCAGATTTCACGTGAACACGTTCAACTTTTCCATATTTGGAGAACGGTCGTTTGAAGTCCAAATGGCTAACCTCGAATCCAAAATAAATTTATTCCTATCCAAAGTGCGTGTCAGACTTTGAAATGTATACTATAAATAAGCATGCAGTCTGGAATTCCTCCAGGAAACCACTATATAGATCAATGAGTCGGGATCATCTCATGCAAAATAATGTCGTTGAAAATAAATGATCGGGTGAACATAATCTTCAATTTTAGCACTCCATGTCGAATAACCAGCGGATTGAAGCCAAAAATTGTATTTAAATTTTATATTCCAATAAATGAACACATCGAGGCATTAAAACTGATACACTAAAATACGAACTTTGTACTAATACAAATTGAAAATAACATACTAAAATATAATTATTATTGTAGATTTGAAAATTGTATCATAAATAAAGGTTTTTCGAATAAGGTAATTTAGTTAATTCTAATAGTGTAATAATAGATAATAATAGATTATAAAAAATAACGATCATGTACTCTTTGATGGTGAACCAATTCCATATTATGATCTGAGGCGGCTATCGGAGAATCAAAATAAATAATGCAATTAGAATTAGAAGTGATGTAATTGTAAAAAAAAATGAAAATATTAAGGATGCACTATTCATCCACCCATTATGAGTCAAATAGAAGGTTTCTTCGAATTTGTATTCGAGATCTACAGACAAACATAAAGAAAAAATTAAGGAATAAAGAATGATAAATTGGATTAATAGTTATTAAATTTACACTTTAAACAAGATAAAGTATCTTCATGGGGAATTAAACATTGTAGAGGCTATTGCAAGAACAAAGATGGAAGAATTTAAATAACCTTATTTTCTTCATTTTGTTGCCTCTTTGATGAGTCTCCTAATAAACATCATACACACATTATATATATACACACACATTATATATATTTGGAATTACATGATATATTGAAGGGTCTGTTTTTTTTTTTTTTTAGTTTAATCAAAACGTGTGTCATGAATGTAACCTTTATGCAAACTATTGAGGGGAATTGCATGGGCTTTGTTGTATAATTGACTTGTCTAATACTCTAATTAAGTTTAACCTTCCAGTGGAATTGGATGCCCCTTTTCCATTCAAGAATCCTAATAGTTCAATTAATATTGCATTAATAATTATCCTAATTAATATGTATTAACAAATTACTTGATTGTAACCGGCAAAAAATAATCATCATTAAAAGTGTAGTGGGCAAGTAAAATAAGTATAATTATTTAATATTATTTCATAGTAATAATTATTCTAATTAATATGTATTAACTAATTACTTGTTTTAACACAAAATATAATTATCATTAAAATGATAGTGGACAAGTAAAATAATTATTATTATTTAATATTATATCATAGAAGTGGCGTTTTTTTTTAGTTTGTTATTGTTATTGTAATGTATATTTACCATATTATCCACCAAATAAGTTATTGGGCGAAGGGTAATATTGGACACACAAAAAAGGGAAGAAACCATTACCAATTATTCATACTTTTATAGTAGGTATAGAAAGATATATATGCATATGTATATATGTTAATATGTTTAGTTCATGCCAATACCTTGCTTTAAGAAACCCTACAAATTCATATATCTTGCATAAATTCTCAGCATACGTGATCTTTGCTTTGCACTCCTTTTGTATTTTCTGGGCTTCGACGTTTCGCATACCAAAGCGTCGATAAATTTCGTCTCGAGTGTATTTCGATAAATCATCAAAATTATCAAAATATTTGACCGGGACAAGATTGTCATAGTAACTGATTCTAGTAGAACTTTTCGATTCTATTAAAGGCTGTGACCTAAAATATTCATATGAATAATTGAACATATCCGAAAATCGTACGGGATTCAAAACACTGGATGCAATCTGGTAGATATTAAGTTCTGGCATATGCTTAGAACCGTGCTTCGCTATGGCTGCGATCGTTGCATTTACGACCATGTCCAATGGAATCTGATCGATCATCAATAATGTAAAATAAATTAAGCCAAATATATATATATATATATATATATATATATATATATATATATATATATATATATATATATATATATATATATATATATATATATATATATATATATATATATATATTCACGAGGCAGAAGAAACAAAAAAATGAATTATAATAATTATAATAACTTCAAATTATTTTCTTAAAAAACTTACTATGTCAATAGGTGCATTATATAAATTTAATTTATTATAGATTATTCAATTATTAATAACATTAATTTTTATATTAATAAATATATACATAATCATACATATATATATATATATATATATATATATATATATATATATATATATATAATAATTAGGAAGAAAATAAAAATATGTACATATTCTTAAAACTTACAATGTCAATAGGTGTATCAGGCTTGCATAAAAAGGCAGGAAGCTGCCCTTTCCCTAATGAACAAATTAGGGGGTCAAACACCCTATAAAAGTAGACACACAACAATTATATATAATTAATTAATTACTAAGTTATTATTCCATGATTAATTTTTAATTAAATAACATAATAATTAAAGAAGGTAAATTTATATATGCACCTATATCCCTGAATCCAACCAGGGACAGGCTCTTTGTAGCAACTCTCGATCGCGGCTGGCCTAATGATGACGACCGGAATATCACCCCTCGTTTCTTGGATAACCATTTCGCCCATCGCCTTTGTAAATTGATAAGTATTATGCCATCCGTATAAATGTGCTCTGTTAAGTAACATCAAGATATACACTTATGTAACGCAATTTCTAAAATATGGTCGATTTTTTGGTCGAAAGTAAAAGACACTCGAGTTGAAAAGATATAAATAATATAATGCATAAATAACAATTAATTATATTGCCTCTCCATTCCTAGCCTTTTCATATCCTTCGTAGCATCGTAGCCCGTAGATTTTGTGCCCGATTTCAATGCTAGGTTTACTTCATCGGATATATTAACACGAGGAAATGGAGATCGGTCTTTTCTTCTATTCTCCCCCATGGTTATCGGATTCTCTAAGATTATTCCTTCTCTTTCACCATTGACATATGCTATTTAAAAACAATAATATTGAATTTAGTTTAATTTGATCAACTAGATACATTGTAGGACGAAATAAACCGCGAGACTAATTAATTTCCAAAGCATATCTTTACGTACCGGTTGAAATATGGACAAGGAGCTCAAGGCTCTTGCACTTCTTAGCAAAACTCATTATTCGTTTAGGGCCGTTGACATTAGTTTGAAGTGACACGTCGTACCTGCATACGGATCGGATAGAATGTTTGAATATTAATTTGGTGTTTATTGTATTTAGTACGTACTCATGTGTTATATCGAATTGCTGAAATAATCACCGCGTTACACATATAGCAAAACCTCCCCTATAATGCACTTCTTTTAACACAAACATATATATATATATATATATATATATATATATATATATATATATATATATATATATATATATATATATATATATATATATATATATATATATATATATATATATAATAAGTATATATATACCCCTATACTTTTAAGTTTTAATATTTACACATTTTCCCCAAACTCCCGTATCCCCATTTTTGGGCTATGCCGGTTTCCCGTGTCAGTGCTACATAGGTGTAGATATGTTGAATGACCATCTCAACCAAAAAGATCTGTTGAATAACCATCTCAACCAAAAGCAGCTTAATGTTAGTGAAATGTATCATTAAATATTAATATCTTTAATTCACCCCCTCAAGTACAGAAGAATTACATTTGAAGTCTTGCACTTGAAATATTTGAAATAGGCCGTGGTAGGATTCGGATTCAGGACATTTTATTTGGTCTAACTCTGATACCATGTTGAATGATATTCGTCTCATCAAAAAACTTAAGCTATTAGTAAAGTGTATCATTAAATATTAATATCTCCAAAACTTCATTAGTATAAGATTTTGGAGCATCTACAAAACTTCATTAATATATGATTTTTCCACATAAAAAATATATCTATGGGATATAAAATGAAGGGCAAAGTACATGCACAGACAATAATGTGTGTGTAATAAGTGTTTATTTTGCAGATCAAACGTTGTACCTTTTCCAAGAAGTCCAGTTCCACCGGTAATAAAAATGTTCTTCCCTTGGAAAAAATTAACGATCCCGACACCCTTGCCCCAAGACGACTCTCCTTCTAGCGGCACTTTCAAATCGTCATTAGCTTTGGCGGATACGTTGCCGTTGCCGTTGTTAAGAGATGCCCTTGTGAACTTACTAAAATGTTTTTCAGTTACTAAGGATGAAACCTTGGACTTCTTGCCATGATGATCAGAACACAATAAGTTCTTAGGTTTCCTAATTGCTGGGCACACAAATAAGCTATTCCACACAGACATAGTTCAAGAGAGAGAGAGAGAGAGAGAGAGAGAGAGAGAGAGAGAGAGAGAGAGAGAGAGAGAGAGAGAGAGAGAGAGAGAGAGAGAGAGAGAGGTTTAATTTCTTTGTTTTGGAATTGTATGTGATGCACGTATTATTAGTCTTGATTTATATAGAAAGAAAATGGTACTCACAAATGTATCATACACCTACTATGAAGTTTCATAGTGGGGTGGACATAGATTCCAAATGATCACATAAGAAACAAGTTACTTATAAAATACCCAAATGCTCATTTTTTTTTTTTTTTTTTGGGCAAAACTCATTATTTAAGAGGTAATTTGCTAATTAAACAAATTCATTGTAAGGGGGGTTTTGCTAATATTAATAAAACGCGGAGGCTTTTACCAATTCGATATAACACAGTGGTGCTAAATGCAATATTCAATAATGTGAATTAAAGTATCTACCATATGTAGAAATTTGAATTTTCGGAAAATTAGGTATTAATAAGTATTGTTCAAATGTCGATTCTAAAATTCTTTTAGCTCAGTAAAGTAGAGAATGCCGAAAGTATTTGGCATGTGTTGAAGGTAGTCGAAGAGAATACACTAAGATTGTTGAGCGTCAATGCATGCCACGTGGCCCGGCGATTATTCTCTGATGTTCAAGTCAAAGAATCGTAAGTAGAATACAAGTCGATCGACATCTTCTAAATCCTAAAATAGCACATATATACCACAATATGCAAACGAACTCATATGAGTTGCATTTTTCATTAAATCGGCTAACTAGGCTTGTTGGCCCGAAGCACAACTACACCCCACTCTCTGCAGGTTGTGCGTACATGTCCTTGAGCCCATGATTATTAAAATCATACGATTTACAATTTAATACGTACGATTCGATTCCTTGGATTTACTTTTTGGGCAAATGGCAAATAAGCCCATGACACGTGGACTTAATTAGAAAAGAGACATCCAGTTTTTTTGTCTTGCAAAAAAACTCAATACTTAAGGTTTATTTAAAATCAAGGCAAGAGTATTTTTTCGGACATAATTACCCCTGTATTTAATGTGAAAGCCCTAAGCTCGTTTTTTATGAATTGTCTGCGATTCTTCTCTTTTCTCCCCCGAATTCCTCTCTGTAACTCTGTATCTCGAAGTTGTGCTACATCTAGCGGTTTCGCGTCGGATCTCGCCGGCCATCGTCTCCAGCTTTTACCGCCGATCATATATGCTGAATTATTATTTTCAAGGAAGGTGTGTCAATTTTTTTATCTGCTTGCGAATGTTTTTTTTAAGTTAAAAATGTCAACATCGCTATATGTATAGTTTGAATTATAGTAAATTGAACACCATGATGTATGGGCGTTCAATTACTGTTTACAGAAATGTGTTTTTTTGTTTGTTGTAATTTTTGTTTTCACGCTATATTTTTTTTTGAAGGGTTTATATAATGTTGTTGCAATTGGCAGTATAATTGCACATGTATGTTATTTCGCTGGTTGTTTATGTATTTTGACTGTCATTTAGCAGTATAATTATGTTTTGTTATGTTTTTCTTTTTGAAAGTGTTTATATGATGTTGCTGGCATTGGCAGTATAATTGAATGTATACGCGGAGTTACTTGATGTATTAGTAATGTGACTGTTATTAGCAGTGTAATTATGTTTTATTATGTTTGTTTGCAAGTGTTTATATAATGGTACTGTTATTGGCAGTATAATTGAATGCACACACATATTTACTGGATGTATTAGTAATGTGACTGTTATTAACAGTGTAATTATGTTTTATATGAAATTGCAGGATTACTAGTTCTATTGTGTTGTTGTTGTTGAGATATGGTGGATTTTGTTCGTTCACAATTTGTACAAGAGGGATGAGTTTTTCCAATTTTGTGCATTTTGTTTGTTCAAGATGGAATTCATTAAGTGTTGATAACCTATCATTATTGTACTTTGTCCCTAAGATTGGTGTTTTTTCAAACAACGATGATGAAGATGTAAAAGGGTTTTATTATTGTGGAACAATGGTCGATTCAAATGATTGAAATTGTTGTGAAGCAAGTTCATGCATCTCTTGGTACGTTTACTACTAGTTACAACTCTATGGTAGGTCCGTCAAGTGTGTTTCCTCTTGTTGCATTTGAAGCAGTAGTTAATCCCTCATGCAACACATTACGTGCCATTGCCCGCCAAAAGACTTTGCTTAGCTCACATTGGATAAATATGATAATGGATAAGGGTGAAATTATTGAATATATAGGAAATTAAGCACTCATGGAAGCAGATCAGTCTTATTTATGTTAATAAAAGATAGCTCCCCCATTTACATAGGCAGTAGTTAATTACATATCCGCAAATTAAAACAGCTCCATCATAACTTGTTACTAGTAGCACACAGTTACATTACATTACATAAAAGCACTAAACACTATTCATTCACATAACCGCATATCTGAGTAGTATATACTCTTCCCCACATCTTCTTTTCGATCTTTACGAATCGGAGCGGCCGCTCTGCTGACGTGGCCCCTTGAAGAAAAAGTCATCTTTCTGGCTCTCGAAAATATCATCTACTTCTCTTTCCGGCATTCTGAAAGCCAGCTCATTCGCCTCCCTTCCAAGCTGGTTCATCACGTTCCTCCTCCCGGCAAGCGTGAACTTCTCGTTGTTGTACGCGTTCATTTTGAAGCAGAGCAGCTGCAGGTTCTGGTTGTTCGATGCCACCTCCACGAACGGATGACCCGCCGGCACCACCACCACCGTCCCAACAGTGGGCTTGTGTACCACTAGGGGTGTAAATGAGACGAGCCGGCTCGCGAGCTTTCGGAGCTTGCTCGAAAAAAGCTCGTACTCGAGCTCGAAAAATCGAGCTCGAGCTTGAGCTCACGAGCCCGAGCTTTTTGACGAGTCGAGCTCGAGCTTCATTTCAGTTGTTCGACAGCTCGCGAGCCGGCTCGCGAGCTTTACCTTTTTTCTATATTTTTTTAATACATATTAATAATATATAATAATAGATATTATTAATAATAAATAAAAAAGAATAATATTACTTTTCTAATTTAAAAAAAAATTAATAAGACATATATAGTATCAGACTATTGCTAAGACATTAACATTCGAATAAAAAAATAGATTTACTTTATTAGTTAGTTTTAATCTTGTAATTTGTTATTTGATTAAAGAAAAAAAAATTGAAATTAATTGAAGGAAAATATGGTTATACCGAGCTCGAGCTCGAACTCGGGCTCGTTTGGTATACGAGCTCGAGCTCCTTAGAAACAAAACGAGCTCGAGCTCGAGCTCAAAACTATAGGCTCGTCGAGCTCGAGCCTGGTATAATTGTAGCGAGCTCGAGCTCGAGCTCACAAAATAAGGCGAGCTCGGCTCGTTTACACCCCTATGTACCACACAACTACTGTGAGCAGCATGAGAACATGGCATATACAAACAACTATTTTCAAACAGAGGGTTTATGTATCACACAAAATCACTGTGAGATGCAGTAAAATAGGAGACACGGAGAAACAACTATTTTCAAATAGGGGGCATGTGCGTATAACACAAAGTCACTGTCAGATGTAGTAAAATAGGAGACACATAGAAACAACTATTTTCAAACAGGGGGTTTATGTATCACACAAGATCACTGTCTTAGGTAGTAAAATATGAGACATAGAGAAACAACTATTTTTAAACAGGGAGTTCATGTATCACACAAAATCACTGTCTTATGCAGTAAAATAGACAAACAACTATTATCAAACAGGGGGTTTATGTATAACACAAAAATACTGTCAGATGCAGTAAAATAGGAGACATGCACAGAGAAACAACTATTTTCAAACATGGGGTTTATGTATCACACAAAATCACTGTCTTATGCAGTAAAATAGACAAACAACTATTTTCAAACATGGGGTTTATGTATAACACAAAAATAATGTCAGATACAGCAAAATAGACAAACAGCTATTTTCAAACACGGGTTTATGTATAACACAAAATCAGTGTCTTATGCAGTAAAATAAGGCACATACTAACTGTTTTTCCAAACATGGGGCTTGTGTATAATATCACTGTCTGATGCAGTAAAATAAGGCACATACTAACTGTTATTCCAAACATGGGGCTTGTGTATAACAAAATCACTGTCAGATCCAGGAAAATAAAGCACATACTAACTGTTTTTTCAAACATGGGGCTGGTGTATAAGAAAATCACTGTCAGGTCGAGGAAAATAAGACACATACTAACTGTTTTTTCAAACATGGGGCTTGTGTATAACAAAATCACTGTTAAATTCCAAAAAATAAGGCACATAAATCACCGTTAGATGCATCCGGGCAAAAAATACTGCCAAAGCAGAAAATTGAGCCCTAATAATGAAAAAACATACACAATAGCAAGATTTATGTCATAAAACAAACATTTGTATAGTATACTGTTAGAAAAAACTCACAAGTTCGTACGATTAGGGTTTCGCAGAGTTCGACTGTATTTTTTGCGGATTTCACAGTAACTTCGAACGATGTAGCCGAAATCGCTCAACAATCAACAAGATGAGAGTATATTTTCGAAAATCAGAGTGATTTTTCAACAATTTCTGGTGAACGTACTGATTTGGGTGAAGAAAAACCGGTGAAGAAATTTCTAGCAATTTTCGTATTTTTTAGGTTGCATTCACAGAAACTAAAGGGAGGGGGATCTGTATATTTTTTAGTATTTAAGGGAGGGTATTTTCGGGAAGTGGAAGCAAATGGGCTTTTTTGTAGAACTATTTTTTGTCTGGATTGAAATGCAAATAAGTAGCACTCAATGGGCCTATTTGCCATTCGCCCTTACTTTTTATAAGCGACAAATCGAATCAAATCGATTGCAAGTTTAAACAAACTCCTTAAAACCCTAATACCAACATAAATAGTATATTTATAATAGTCCTCCTAACCCTAAAAGGGTTTGGAATCTGGATTTAGAATTTAAGACATAACCTAACTATATATAATATAACATGTGGTAGGTAGATATATGATTAATTAGTTGAGTTCACAAAGCAACCTATTTGAAAATTTCACTTTTGTTCTAATTGGCTTGTTCAATTATAAGTTAATTAGCACTAAAAGACAAAGTAATCTCTCCTATACAAGTCATATTTTAATCTCTCCAATACAAAATTTTGTACAAACAAATATGTAGTCACCTAATGCAAGTGATGATTTAGAAATATTATTACATCGTACCAAATATTATTACATGCATTAAATGCACCATTCTATATTTCGATCGGCTCCCTTAGAATATAATACATTTTGCAGGCCTTTTTATTTTATTTTAATTCTGCCCCCCACCCATTTTGCAAAATTAAGATCACTTGGGAACATTCTATTTTTTTGTCTTGCAAATATATCTACACATCCAGCACTTATTTGCTACTAAGAAAAACTCTCTCATATATATATATATATATATATATATATATATATATATATATATATATATATATATATATATATATATATTTATGTACCAACATTGTCCACTATCCTTTGAAATCCTAATTTAACTATAAATTCGCGATTTAAACCTCAATTTTGAACGTTGCCGCCCTTTGACCTTTTCTTTTTTGTTGAAAAACTATTTTTTTTCTCCAATACTGATGAGTGAAGATTTACGCTCGAATTACATTTTCTTGAGTTTTTTTAAGATTCTATTGATTATATATGGTGTTTAATGACTTTTAATTTTTATGTTATTTATGTGCAAGTTGGTGAACATGACGTTAATTAAAAGGGATTATTTTAGAGACCCCCTAATTTCCAAATTATATCCAACTAACTACCAAGCGGATACTACCCTATGGCTAACCCCCCTAATTTCGAAAATAATTTGACGGATCCCCCTGGCCATACATGAAGTACCTAAATTGCCCGTAGTAGCCCTTTCCATAACCGCGGACGTTGCCATGTACACGTGATCCCAACGTTTTTAATTCCGTGTGAATGCGGGAAACGTGCGACGTATAAGGGAAACTGATTTTTCTCCGCGATTTTGTGAAATATTCGTTTCGTTTCAAACATTGCGGATTTCGTATTCGGTGTAATTTGTCGATCGCTAGCTGTAGCAGTCATTTTCGAATAAGCCGACGTCATCTCTGTAAGTGTTTTTTAAATCTTAACTCATCAGAACTAATTGTTGATGAATAATTTGTATTATGTTAATTGTATATATTTTTTGTAGATTTTGTGTTTTTTTTTTGTTTTTTGCATGAAACTGTGTTCGTGGAGTGATCATGTGTTGATGTATGATGAGTTTTGTGTGTTTTATTTTGGTAGTTGTATGTAGTAATGTTATCAGATCTCGCGTGTGTAGAGTTTGATGGCAATGTGTTTACATATGTAAGATAATTTTGTAAGATCAGTTATAGTTTAGTGCTAGATTTATATTTTTTTGTTGTCATTTGTGATTGAGGTGGATGAAGGAGTTCATGCAGTGTGTTAGCGTTTATGCTTTTTTGCGATCTGATGTATTTGCTGACAGTTTTACATAGTTAGGTTGACGGTTGTTTTCAATTATTTCAGAGTTCCGTTTCAATATGGCGTCATGTGTGACTCTCGTTCTGAAATTTGATGGTGTTTTTGGGGTGAAAAATTGTACGGGAGATTTTACTTTTGAAGAGTTAATTGGATTTGTGAGCACGAAGTTTAATGGACTGCAGCGTAATAACGTGGCTATGTCCTACAATATACCCGGTGGTTGTGAGGGTGTGTTGGGCGACGACGATGATGTTTTGTTCATGTTGTCTTCCATGAGGGAATTGTCAATGAGTCGGATTGATGTAGTTATAAAACAGAGGTTGGGTGATAGTAGGGGTTTGGTTGGGTTGGCTCCGGTGTTACCTAATACGTATGAACGGGATGTTGATCGAGGTGTTCTCAGTGTTAATCCACGTAGCTTGGTGACAGCAGGTCCCCCGCAGTTGATGACTGCTAGTTGGGCAAATCTTATTATAGATGTGGGGCAAGTGTTTGAAGGTGGTGCGAAGGATTTTAGGAAGGCGTTATGTCTTTATGCTATTGAGATGGGTTTTGAATTCCGGTATGTGAAGAACGAGCGTGTTAGGGTCACTGCAGTTTGTAAGGATAAGGACGTGAAGGACTGTATGTGGAGGATTCTTGCATCGATTGAGCACACAAATGGTTTCTTTTATATTAGAAGATATGTCAAGCATCACACCTGCGGCTCTGGATTTGCTACGTCTAGTAAGAAGAGGTTGACGTCGGATATAATTGCTGAGTTGGTGATGTGCGAAGTCACATCTAAGCCCGGGTGGGTGGCCAACGATGTGGTTGTCCATGCGAAACTTCATTTTGGTATTGATATCAGCTACTATGTCGGTTGGAGAACTATTCAGGCTTCTAGGGAACACATTTTTGGTGATCACACAACATCGTATTCGTATCTGCCATCATATTTTGATGAACTTGTCAGGACCAATCCTGAAAGTGTATACCATCTTGATATCGATCAAGCAACTAATCGGTTTCGGCGATGTTTTTTTGTTGTTGGTGCTTGTCTAATGGGGTTTAAGTCATGCCGGCCAGTGTTGTCCGTTGATGGTACGTTATTGAAGGGGAAACATAGGGAGATTTTGCTTGCTGCTGTTGGTAAGGATGGTCAAAATGGTGAGTCAGTAATGGAATTTTTTCTATATAACTGTATATTACTACGCACTGTTGAGTTTCCTAATTTTTTTTTGTATCTTTTTTTCAGCATTATTCCCGGTGGTTTTTGCTGTTGTCAATGAGGAGACTGATTGCAACTGGGCATACTTTTTTGAACACCTAAAGTCTGCGATTGGGACAGAACGTACGTTGACATTTGTGTCGGACCGTAACAACGGTATATTGAAAGGAGTGAAGAATATATTTCCAGGTTGTTTCCATTCTTTCTGTGTTTATCACATCGAGAAGAATCTTATGAACAAGTTTCGTGGTAGTACGGCCACTTTTCGTAAGGCGGTATCTTTCCAATTCAATGCGTGTGTTTACGCAGCTACCAAAGAAGAATTTGATCAGAATATGGAGAACTTTAGGAAGAACGGTGGACCTAGGGTTGATAACTTTTTATGCAACTTACCTCCTGAAAATTGGGTTCATGCTTATTTTGGTGGGAGGAGATATGGGCAGGTTGCGTCTAGTGGTGTAGAGTCGTGGAATTCAAGCATATCTGATGTTCGTGGATTGCCGATAACAAATATGATTGATGGCATCAGAAGCAAAATGATGGTTGACATGTTCTTTGCTAGTAATGTTGCATTGAAATGGACATCTGTGTTGTGCAAAAAAGTCCAAGATATGATTGACGGGCTTGTTCAAGATGCTAGAGTGATCACTGCTCGTCAAGCATCCGATGACTTATATGAGGTGCTTAGCGATCCGGTTGTTGTGGTCGACATTCGTAGCAGAAGTTGCAGTTGTCGAATGTGGCAGATCAATGGGCTGCCTTGTGTTCACGCGGTTTGTGTATTGTTTAAGTACAAAAAGACTGGTGGGTATGATTATTTAAACGAACATGTTCGTACAGACTGTTATAGAAGAGTGTATTCTCACACCATTGTTCCTTTTGTTACCGATGCGGGTCGGCCTCCTGCTGTTGAAATTGGTGCCCCTGTGTTCAAGCCGCAACGTGGTAGGCCGAAGAACAAAAGAATTCCTTCTGTTGGGGAAAACATCTCAATGAAGATTAAGTGCAGCAGGTGTAATCACATTGGCACACACAATAAGAGAACGTGTATTAGGAGCATGGCTTAGAATTTTAACATTTTTTTCAGTTGATTTTGCTGGATTGGTTTTATTGTTCGTTGATGTTTGAATTTGAACTAATTACAAATGGTTGTTTTGGTTTTGCACTCGTGATGTGTTTTCATATTTGTTGATGGTCTGTCTAACTAGTTCAAGGTGTATTGCTCGTGTACACAAACACCATTACGTCCATAGTTATATGTAGTTACATATAGTTTCATCTAGATATATTGTGCTGAGAAGTATGTAATCAGACTCTACGTCTGAATACATGACTTGGAGCGATTACTTTGGAAATAAGCGTCTAATCTGGCTAAGGTTTGCAGTCTTTTGTTATTTTGTAGTTGTGTATTATTGTCCGAGAGTGCATGTGTTGTACACGTGAACAAGTTTTTCACTGTATTGTTAAATCCTAGTTACATGTAGTTATATTTGTGTTATTGTATTCAATTCTCAGTATATATGGTTGTTTACCAGTGGCAAAGTCTCAAGAGCTAATTGATTGTTTGTGGCAAAATATATGGGACAATGGGATACAACTTTTAAATTTAATAAAAGCATAATACACAAAAGTTTGATTTCTAAAGCAAAATATATTGCAAATAAAAAACATGTGCTTAATCCCAAGAGTCTGCAGACTCCCAATCGTGCTCGCCCGTCTCTTCATCTTCCAGGCAGTAGTCTGAAGATGAATCGTCAGCAGACGGTGGCAGCGGAGATTCAGGTGGAGGTGGCGCGCAAACACACGGCGGCGTTGGTGGGTCGGGGAGGAAGAGGCATAATGAACATATGTTGGTGTTCATTGTTTCGTGGTGAATCAGTGTGTGCTCACCCAGTTTGCACTTTCGGTACTGCTCCTGACCCCCCATCCGGACCGTTAATGAGGTTGTATGCTGCTTCTTCTGGGTATGCGTGTTCGCCATGTTTGAGAAGGAACTCAATTTCCCACCACAGTCTCTCGATTGCTACATCTGGAATCGCAGACATGGTTGTTCTTTTTTTCTTTGTGTATAGGGGGGGGGGGGGGGGGTGGGTGCCTTTATAAAACGAAAGGCAGTGGTACAGGATTGGTTGGGGACTCCGAAGGTTGCCTCCAAAGATCATTTTTTCTGAAATACGGGCGACTGTTGTCATTCAGGCGTCTGGATTTAAAAATCCAAATTTTTTTTGGGGGGGGG